GTGTGTGTGTGTGTGTGTGTATGTGTATCTTTGTCCTGTGTCTGTAGGGTTTTTGGTGTGTGTGTGTGTGTGTGTGTGTGTGTGTGTATATCTTTGTCCTGTGTCTGTAAGGGTTTTTGGTGTGTGTGTGTGTGTGTGTGTGTGTGTGTGCATCTTTGTTCTGTTTGAATACCAAAGTTACATCTTGAAAAAAATGAATTAACAGTTTTCTACTTTCTGTTCCGTCAAAGTCTGAATAAAATAGGAATCATTTTATTTTCACAAGTCCTTTTAGAAGCTAATTGTAAAGTTATCTGTATGTTGTATCTTTTGCAAGAGTAGTTCTTGAACCACTTTTCTACTTCTTCCATAGGCTGTTAGTCTGATATCCAGACTCCTTTCTGCAAATAAGTTCAGCTTTCGTATCTGTATGAACTTATTTTTCAGAGAAGTTTTACTTACTCTACTGTTCATGTCTTCAATTTGCTTTGCTCGCTGAATTCTCCTCATTTCTAAGACCTGCTCTTTTTTCTTTTGCAACCATGCTTTAAATACTATGTCATTCTCTCTCTTTTTTTCTTTCTCTTCTTCTATTTTCCGTTGCTCTTCCTAGTAAAAGAATATGAAAAGACATTAATGAAAGATTAATAAAATTGTATGAGTTATCAAAGTAGAGATAGATTTTGAGATCTGAAATTAGGATTCCCTGATCCTAAACTTTCCTTCTAGGCCAGGCACAGTGGCTCACACCTGTAATCTCAGCACTTTGGGAGGCCAAGGCAGGTGGATCACTTGAGGTCAGGAATTTGAGACCAGCATGGCCAACATGGTAAAACCCTGTCTAGAAAGATGTTCGTGAAAACACAAAGTTAGCTGAGCGTGGTGGCACACACCTGTAATCCCAGCTACTTGGGAGGCTGAGACAGGAGAATCGCTTGGATCTGGGAGGTGGAAGTTGCAGTGAGCCAAAATCATGCCACTGTACTTCAGCCTGGGTGAGAAAGAGACTCCATCTCAAAAAAAGAAAAAAAAATTGGCCTTCCTAAAATATAGGGCCTTCTTTCTGCTTACAGGGGAAAAAAAATTAAGAGTTTTCAAATAAACTGTACAGATAAAGTCTACAAATACACAGATGTATAATATACACATGTTCAGGAACACCTTGGCTCTCTCCTCTAGCTACTTCTTACTTCTTGGTATTAAATACATCAAATTGAAACTATACAAAAGAAAAAACACACACTCCAGAAGCACTATAACTGTCTTACACATTTTTACATTGTTAATTGTGATAAATGGCATAGTGATTATGAAAGAAGCTCCATAAGCATTTAGAGCTGTATATCAAAGTATGTAAATGAGACATTACATGCTGTCTAGGGTCTTGCTAGACAGCCAAAAAAGAAGAAGAGATGAAGCAAATATGCCAAAGTCTCAGTGGCTTTTGCATCTGAGAAATGAGGATACGGGAGTTAATTGCACCTTTTTAAATGTTTGAAATTTTTTGTTAAAATGTTAAAAAATATTTTTCAAGTAGTTCATATTGAAAAAGAAACATTTTTGCTACCAGAAAAATATTTAGGCACTTGGTTAACTATTAAGAACACAATGAGCCAGGCAAGTGGCTCACACCTGTAATCCCAACACCCTGGGAAGCTGAGGCAGGGGCATCACTTGAAGCCAAGAGTTCAAGACCAGCCTGGACAACATAGCAAGGCTCCAACTCTACAAAATAAAGTTAAAAAAAAAATAAATTAGCCAGACATGGTGGCCCAAGCCCTTAGTCCTAGCTACTCATGAGGCTGTGGTAAGAGGATCATTTGCGCCCAGGAGTTCAGGGTTACAGTGACCTAATGATTGTGCCACTGCTCTCCAGCCTGGGTAACAGAGCAAGATCCTGTCTCAGAAAAAATAAAAGGAAAATAATGGTTTTTTATCTGAATTATTTGACTAATGTTGTAAAAGAGAGTTAAACTTGAAGGGAGATACCAAAATCAGATATACAGAACCATAAAATATTTATAGTTACTGGGAGCAAAACAACGTGGCATAGTGGAAATAGCGCCAGTTTGCAAGTCAGATCTGAGTAACAATCCTTCCGTGATAATACTATGCCAATTTGGGCAAGGCACTTAACCTCTGTCTCAGTATTCTCACCTACAAAATGGAGTTGCACTAATGAGATTGTAAATCTCTTTAAATACTAAAATTTTATCATTTAAATAATGAATTCTAAGTGTTTTCCTTGCATTTTGACAATATAGCAAGACTTTCTAATTCAGAAGGATTAGAATTGATTGTTCAGCAGGAAGGGAGGAATGGATAAATTCTATCAAACAGCATAAAATATATTTGAAAATATCTGTATACTATTTTCTGAGCCCTACAGTATCCATATTATATAAAATATAAATGAATTTATGAAAGATTAAATTTTACATTATGTATACATTTCCTTTTCACACAAAGGACTTTGGATGCCTTGCATGAATACAGTATGATAAAAGATGATTATCTTTCCAAGGGAACATTTAGGTATATTACACAGAAGCTATCAGCCAAAGCACTGGTAACGGAGTTGCCAAAGAGAACACTGAAAGGATGCACTTACGTTGGAAACACAAGAGTGTTTCAGCCCAACAAAGCAAATACAGGCATAAAAAAGCAAAGCCTTCTCATGAAACCAACTAAAACATGTTAAAAGCCTTAGTACTTGAAGGCCATGCCTTGAACCAAGTTAGTTACAGGATACGGACACCACAAAAGTGTGTGTCATTCAGAAAATAGAATCAAAATGAAAACAGAATTATCCATCCCTTATACCAGTTAAAGACTAACATCAGTTCATTAGTAAAAAGGCAGTGACAGCTAGATAAAATCACCTGTATAACTTTTGTAAAAATATACATACGTACCCATATGTGTTTGTGCACAGCAAACATATAGATGTCACGCTCAAAAAATTATTTTGTATTGTCACAAAATTCTTATACTTTTAAGTGTTGTTTTATATCTGAATCAAGTAAACTTAGGTTCACTATTAGAGCTATTAGTGACCAAGTGAGTGAAGCTCTATAAGCATGCACCCTTTTAGGTTCTTGTCTAAGTGTGCTAGAGGTTACATGTTCTTATGAAGTCATTTTTCACTTTTTTTTTCATTTTTGCTAATGCCAATTCCTGATTTAAATGCCAGAAATTTTCTTGATAATTTCCCATATAAAGCAGATAACACAGCCAGACACGGTGGCTCACACCTGTAATCCCAGCACTTTAGGAGGCCGAGGCAGGTGGATCGCCTAAGGTCAGGAGTTTGAGATCAGCCTGGCCAGCATAGTGAAACCCCATCTCTACTAAAAATACAAAAAATTAGTAGGGCGTGGTGGTGGGTGCCTGTAATCCCAGCTACTCGGGAGGCTGAGGCAGGAGAATCGTTTGAACCCAGGAGGCAGAGGTTGCAGTGAGCCAAGACTGCACCATTGCACTCCAGCCTGGGCAACAAGAGTGGGACTCTGTCTAAAAAATAAATAAATAAATAAACAAATATATAAATAATAAAGTAGATAGCACACCATTTCTCAAGGGTGCCACAGAACTGGGTATTTTTGTTTCAGTTTGCTACTAACAAGTACATATATACCTTGGTAAAGTTATTTAAAATTTCTAAGGTTTTCTTATCTGCAAAATCATCTGAAAGAGGTCACTTCTCATGTATTATCTGCTGAACACTGTATTTAGAATTAGACATTTTATATGGCTCCGCTTAATACCATTAGGTTTCCAGTAAAACAAAGAATTGGAGCACTGATATAAGAGGGTCATTTCTGTACCATTTGCATTATAAATGGATGGCAAAAACCCCTGACTCTCAATGTCTTGAAAATTCAGAAATTCAAATTTTCCATCTCTCTCTACCAGTATTGTCCTATCCTTGTTTTCTTCACAGCTTCCATTAGGAAGTGACAGGAGCACATTTTCTTGTTCAAAATCGTTGGAAATACAGTTTAAGCCCTGGAATTTTCAATTCTAAGATACATAGAGTTTCACATATGAACAAAAATGAAAAACAAAAACACTTAATTTGGGATTTCATATGGCATTTTGGAGACATTTCATTAACAATATTAGGCTATATTCTTAATAAAAACTAAAATCCTGAAAATAAAGGAATTGTAGGCATAGAAGATAATATGAAACACATGCAAGTAAAATAATTATAGTCCAAGTCTTCCTGTTGTCTCTTAAACCTCTACACTTGGTGCCTTCATTTTTCCATCTGACATTTTATTTTCAACTATCATATCAAGATTACTTTCAGCAGTCACTTAACGTCTCTGAGTCTCACCTTTAAAATGAAAGGATCAGATGAAGTCATCACTGAGATCTCCACTAACACAGATCCATCTACTATTCTTTGTGATCCTTACAAGGACCAAAGTAATCACAGTGTTCATTCCATAAGTACACATTTTTAACACTTAATCTAACAATAGATATATAAAACAAGCAAAAAAATCTCCAATAGTTTGAACAACTGTTTCAATTCCCATTGTATTTACAAAGCAGGAAAACATCATCTACTTTTGATACAATGACCACTTAGGTTCTCACCTCTCTTTTGAGCTTTTCTCTCTTTTGTTCTAGTTGTTTTTGTAGTTCTTTCTGTCGAGGGGAAAGACAATATGTTGAGGTCACTGGTGAGATATGTGCAGACTGCGTCCTGTGATTAGATTTCCCATTCCCTTTACTTCGATCTGAGTTGGCAGCAGAGCTTGGACAAGTCTTGCGGTTGAGCGGTGGCTGAGGGATATAAGCCAGCGGCTCCCCTATTGATGAGTGAGTGACAGCATGAATCTTTGCTGCAGAATCTTCTTTCTTGATGCCACTGACAGAGGAATTAGAAGATCTTGGTAACAACTGCTGAGGGTCATTTTCTGTACTATTTGCATTATTAATAGGAGGCAAAAATCCCTGACTCTCAATGTCTTGTAAATTCACAAGTTCAAACTTTCCATCTCTCTCTACCAGTATTGTCCTATCCTTGTTTTCTTCACAGCTTCCATTAGGAAGTGACAGGAGCACATTTTCTTGTCCAAAATCATTGGAAATACATAACTGTGACAGTTTTCCAAACATATTCCTTTCATTTTCAACATAATTTTTGTCTTCTAGTGGAGGAACTTCCAAATCAACTAATTTGTCCTTGAACTTAAGTTTCCGCTCCCTTTTATCATTCACAGGTTCTTGATTCTGTAGAAGCTTGTTAGCTTGTACAATTTTGTCCATAATATATCTCCTTACTTCCTCATCCTCTTCATCCTCCAAGTCTTTCTGGCTTTCTATTTTGGATTCCTGGAAAGAGTTTTCACTATCTGAATCTGATATGGGATCTGAAGGTTGACTACTTGGTACAGAAATGAAGTCATCTCTTCTTGGTGAGATCTCATCCTGCAAAGATTTGTCAGGATCAGAAAGCTGTTTGGTGTGTTCTATTACTGTTTCATTCCCTTTTAAGTCTTGGTTAATATGCTCTTCCTTCTCACAAGCCATCTAAAAACAAGATATTTTTCAGTCAAAATTGAGATTCATTTATAAGTAGACAGAAAATGGTATTTCCCTGTTCATGTAATTTATTTTATGAATGAGAAAATTTAAGGCTTCTTCCACATAATTTGCTCATAACATTCTAATTCATACTTATGAGTATCCAAGGGAAATATATTTGACAGCAATTTGGGAAAAATTCAACTTTAAATTTGAATTTGATGTAGTTAAGTACTACACTGATTTTTAAACATTTTTATGCTAATGTATCAAAAGATAACCACAAATAATAATATTAATATTCCTTCCCCTATAAAATTTTCCTCTTTACATTTTAGAAAAACAGTTTTCAAAAATGTTTCCTCCTTGTATTATTTGCAATCTCCAGTCAAACATCTTTCTCCCCAGACCATTTCAAGGATGAATTATTTGGTCAAGCCCTAATCACGTGAGGTTTTTTTAATCTTTTCAGACTATTATTGTCACTATAACCTGCAGGACTTATCTAAATTCCAGGTCAATTTTTATCTCTAGATCAGGTTTTCCTTCTTCAACTATGCTCAGAGATTTCAGTAATCCATGCTAGCCACTATGAGATAACCTGGCCTTAAAAAAATTAATTCCACATGAACCATAAATCAGTATCAGTGCAGCACAAAACTCTACTCCACTTCTGCTGTAGCTAACTAAATATATATATATATATATATATATGTATATATATATATATATGTGTGTGTATGTGTGTGTGTGTGTGTGTGTGTGTGTGTGTATATATATATACATATATATATACATCTTTGTCAAACAGTTCTCTCCCACCTATCCTAAGGCAGTTCTATAGGAGCTACTACATGCTGCTCTCTTCACTCTCTTCCTTTGCTTGCTCATAGGTCATCCTACGTGATAGGGAAGGTCATCTCGTCTGATAGATGTCTAATAAGGAAATAAAACTGGCCCATTAAAATGACTGCCAAGTAACTATGATTTAACTAAGATCTCTGTAACACAATTGTTCATTTTAGCCTTATTTGATTCTCTGGTTAATTCCTTTTTTATTTTTTCAGTATCACGAGGATGGCAGGCCTCTGGTTCATTCTTATAGTCCCGGTTTCTAAGCTGTCCTTTAGCTTTTATTTCTTTTCTTTTGAAAACCCACTTTTTACAAAAAAATCTTCCCCTGACTTTCTTATGTGTGTCTAGCTCAGTCACCCCCTTTTCCCAAAAGCCTCAAAAGAAGAGGTTATCATAATCATCCACTAGAATGTATAAGATTCATGACAGGACTTTTATTTTATCCCTGCTCTATATATCCCTAGCACCTAGAACAGCCTCTGATACATGATAGGTGACCATTAATATTTGTTGAATTAGAAAATGAAACAATAAATCATCCTTATTACCTCTCTAATTCTATCACCCTGTGCTTTGGAATTCACATCCTTCCAGTCTGGAGAAATTGGTTCAACCTTACCACTCTGGGTATCTGCCTCTACTCATTCTGCTTATTTTTCCATTAGGATGCATAAAACTCTCATTTAAAAGCCATCTTAGAAAAATCTTCACTTTTGACTCTGTTTCCATCTTCAAATATTGTGTATCCCATTTGTCTTTTCCATTATATAAGAGCAAAATGGAACTAAGAAATCTGTAATATAAAACCTGCATTTCCTCATAGTCTTTTCCTTAACACTTTTAAAACTGGCTTCTGCTCTAACAACTCTGATCATTATTATCCCTCGGAAGTCACCTATTTATATCCCAGTGTTAGTCCTTTTCCTTATTACTGACCTACTTATTGATACTAACTTATATATACACACATACATATGCATATACACATATATACATTATATAGAAATACACATACACAGTATACATATGTAAAGAGAGAGAGAAAGAACCTACCATGATGTAAGAACTGGTTAATTTTCCTGGATTTCCCTTCTACATCTCTGATAAATAGTATATAACCATGCTTAATGGATCCACTTTTTCCTATAACTATTCCTGTGACTCAGACTTTGACCCTTTACTTTTTTCTCTATATTCATTGCCAAGAATAGCTAATTCAGTCTTAAAGTTTCAAATATTAGCTAAAAGGTCATGTGTGTAGAGGATTTGATTTATTTTTCATTTATTTTAATAGCATAACCCTATGATTTGACCCAATTTCACAGAAAGTAGGAATTAACTGTATTTTTTTTACTTTCAATGCAATAAATCATGATTTTGCCATTTATTTATTTCTATTATTTAAATTATAATATAATGGTCATTTCAGTTTTATTAAATGCTAACCTAATAACTAACTGTTCTCTCACTAACCTGGTCTATGCCTTAGGATACAACATTTAAGCAATTTATGCCTCAATTTTCTTATCTTTAAAATGAGGATAATAATAATTTGCCCAATGTACATCAAAGAAATTTTGTGATGTTTAGATGAGATAATAATGTGGAAATCTTAAAGAACTGCAAAGCATTTTGTAATATAATTATTATGAATGCTGTTGGCAATATATACCTCTATTATGCTAGCATCACTTTTTTCATTTTCATTAATTAACCACTCCAGGTCCTTTTCAAAGTCATCTTCATATTCTTCACTTTCTTTTGAATCAGCATCTTTATTTTCATTCATTGTCTGTTTGAGAAAGAAAATGCTATAAGATTTTAAAAGATAAGGCATATGTTATGTTCACCCTAGAAGAAGAATGGAGCATGGAAATTAATGCTGTAGGTAAGCTAATTAACACACAGAAACACAAAATGGAATGTTCAAAATGAACATGCACCCAAATACATCATAAAAAAGAGATTTGCAATGGCAAGACATTTCCATAGGTCGGCATTCCTAAAAATTCTCCCACTTCCCCTAATTACCCGAACTCTGATATATAAGGAGTCTAAAAAAAAGCAGATAAAAGACTAATGCTTAGAAAAGGATTTTTCCATATTCTTTGCCACTCATTAAAACCTTTGCCCAGGCCAGAGAAGACAGCTTAGTTTTTTAATCTCACCCACTAACATTTTTTCATGTACAAATGAAAACAGTTCCCATCCTCAGTTTCCCAATCCTTCTAGTAATTTATATGGCATAATTATAATTTATGATATGAGAGCTTTTTAATACAACTGATTTTCAAATATGATGAATGCTGATTTCCACAGGAGTCAAACTTTTGTCAACTCTAAATATTTTGTTCATTAAAAAAAAAAACTGTGATGATACCTAATACAATCTAGAAGTGAGTGACAGTAAATAGAGTTGTCAGATGAAAGGTAAAAATGTCTGTTTTTCTGTTCCAGGTGACAAAGTGTGTTTGTGTGTGTGTGTGTGTGTGTGTGTGTGTGTGTGTGTTAAAGTGGTATATGAATTCAGGCATTTTTGAAAGAACTAAGCTAAAATTATCTTTTAATTAAAATCAGTTCCTAGGCCTTTATTTTTTTTCTGTATATAAATTCTCAAAGAAATGGAACATACAAATCTTTACCTATAATGTGTCTGTATATCTGTGTGAGCCTTCTCTGTGTGTGTGTGTGTGTGTGTGTGTGTGTGTGTGTGTGTGTGTGTGTGT